GAGTTTATGAGAAAGACTAGGAATTAAAAGACAGTCGTTTAAATGAATATTGGGTGAAACATCAACTTTTCCGGCTCGATCAATAGGAATTAATTCCCCATTAGCAGTTTGTATTTGGGTACGTTTAGTGGGATGGAAAGATATAAAGTCGGATGGGTCATAAGACATAGTGTCTGTTGCCCCACAATCTAAAATCCAGCCCATTGATTTACATAAGAGGCCCATATTTCCGGATTGGATAAATGAGTTTTCTGAATTTTTATCTGAATAAAAGGAATTTCTTGGTTGGGTTTCAATGTGGGTCGTGTGTTTTTGATGGGAATTAATAGGAGTTGAAATTGTGGGTTGTTTTATTGTGTGGGCCATAGGTTTTTGATGGAAATTCTTTGAGAAACCCTCAGATTCCTTTGCCTCCTCGTAAATAGTTTCTTTTCCAGAAACTTTCCCAAACCTTTCATCCTCTTCCGTCACTTTCCCTTTCTCTTTCATTGTTTCACCATGAAAATTGGCGATGAGGTTGATACCTGTACCTGTTGATTTTCCGGGTGTGTTTTTGGTTGTGGGTGAGCTTCCATCGTCACCGTCGATTTCCCTTTCAGAAGCAACAAAATTTGCCTTGCCACCGGTCCGGTTTCCGGTAGCCTTGGCGGCGGCTTTTCGTTGTCTCAATTCGTCCCACCACTCAGGGTAACCGATGAGTTTAAAACACCCACTCTTGGTGTGTTTGGTTCCCCCGCAGTGGCTGCATTTTAACATCGTCTTGTCTTCTAACCGGGATGACTTTTCCGACCGGTTTTGCGCCACCAAGCCACTCCCAATTTCTGAGGGACTCTGTCCCGATGATGAGTCGCCGGTCATTATGCCGCGACGGGCAATTTCCCGTCGAATTGTAGCATAAGCGGCATCTAGGGTTGGGAGTGGGTCTAAATACAGTAAATCCCTTTTCTCTTTGTCCAAAGAATTATCAATTCCGGCTAGGAATTGATAAAGCCGTTGTCTCTGAATGAAAGAATTGAACAGAGTAATGTCCTCTGAACATTTCATCGGATTTGGCATTCGTCTGTCAATTTCCTTCCATAATATATTCAGTTTACTGAAATACATTTCTATGGTGTCTCTCCCTTGTTTAATTGATGCTGCCTTCAAGTTCAGATCATAGATTTGAAGTTCGTCTCTCCCACTACTCAAGAGAGTCTCTATTCCTTTCTAGAGATCTCTGGAAGTTTTATAATCAAGGAATTGATTAACTAGATCTCCGTCGATATTCTCGATTATCCACGAGAACACTATTGAGTCCCGTTGGGCCCATTGGGCGTATTCTGGGTTGTCTGATGTTAAAGGGTTGCCTGTGATGTGGTCGAGTCTTCCTCGGCCACCAATTGCAATTTGCATCAACTTACACCATTTGGTGTAATTTGTGTAATTGAGTTTTTCTGAAATACGCACACTTTGTGCATTTCCAGATTCTGGGTTGATTGGGTTTTTGTTTAATTTTTGAAACATCTGGAACATTTGTTCCATCTGCTCTATTGAAATCAGTTTTTTGTTGTCGTCCGGTGAGTCCCCCATTTTAAGGTAACCTTCCGGTAGATGATGAGACTAAATAGGTTTCGGTTTCCCGAAGATCGGAACCTTACGGCTCTGATACCATGTGTAAAATAAGCGGAATTGTGTTTTTGGTTTTCAATTTCTGTCTCCTTATTACTCTTGGTTATCATTACATTTATACACAAAGAGCTATGATAAATAAGGAAATACAGCTAAGCAGAATATATTCCTAACATAATTACAACCTAATTAACTCCTTTGATTAAGGAGAATCACTTATTTCCTACATCTCCAAAATCCAAACCCCTAAAGCGGAGGTTAAATACTGCAAGACAATCAACAGTCCAAGATAATTTAATCGAATAATTGCATATTTATTTATCACAGCTAGTAAAATTGAACAAAGAGCATACCCATTTACAAAATTGCATAACATTGCTTTGTAGCCTTCTGGAGTTCTGGTCATAGAATTTCACCTGATTTGGGTCAAAAGTAGTCAAATGCATCAAAATTTGATACTCCGTATACCCATATGAAATTTCTTGTTCTTTTGACAAAATACAACATTGGGATTAATGGGTAGATCTAAATTGCAAAAAATCACAACCAAATCTGACTAACAAAATTAGAAATACTCTGATAAGACTTGGTTAATCAAAGAACATCCACTATTATAATACTACCCAGGCCATAGTAGTATTGCATAGATAATTTAAATTAGTTGATTGATGTATGTGCAAAATAAAATGTGAGGAAAAAAAAAAAATTGGAAAAAAACAAAAATTATATCATATATGCTTCTCTATGGTTCAGCGGTTGAAAGCTTTGATGATATAATTGCTTTTAATTTCGTTTTAACTCTAAATTTTCCTGGGTCACGTGACTCAGCATGAACAACGCTGGGTCCGCCACTGTTTACAAGTTACGTAGAAGATTGAAGGCAATCCCAAATTCCCACTAGTCCACTACCCCAATAACAAAGAAAAAAAAAGGTCTTTTTCATTCACTAACATTATAAGCAAAGTAGCAAAATGGCAGACGCATAAAACAAGTTTGATTTGTAGTGCCGAAAGCTTTTGGTTGCAGCTCGGCTGATGTGATTTAAATTATGCGCAACAATCACAACCTTAGCTTGTTTCTTATTATGTGCCTTTTCATTTTGTATTCTCGTCCTTTGTTGCGGTTTATGTGGCTAAAAAATCATTCTGTAAATCTCTCAAATATGAAGCTTGTAGAAGAACAATGGCTACATTACGTATACCACTATTTTTTATTTATTTTTGTAGCATGAATAATTTTAGTATTATTTCGAATTAATAGTCCGTTCATTTTTGAATTATACCTTTTGAGGTCACGTTACCATTTGGATATTTTTTGAACACATTTTAGATTTGATTAGGTAAAATATGGATTGCGTTTTGCAAACAAAAAATTTTATCTTTTCACCTAATTAATTCTACTAATTTGAACAAATCTAACCTTAACTTAATTATTTTGTGATTTGAGCTTAATTTTTCTATTTAATCTCTTCACCTTATATTCACTTATTTCGGGTTAATAAGTTAATGTAATTCTAAGATTTTTGTTGACCCTCTTAGTATTTTGATGATTGACAGAACAAACAAACTCTGACTAATGATGTTTGTTAAGTCTTGGTAGAACAGAAGGATTCATGCATAAATAACATGTTGCGGAGTAGGAGCAAAAGGATTGGAAGTCTTGATGATGAATATGCAAGCTTTCAAGAGAAAGAGCAAATTCCAGTCTTAGATTCTCTGTAAGCACTAGAGTATTAATGTGTAGAGGAACTCAGTAAATAACCTTGTGTTTCTTAAGGAACTTAATATTTTAATATAAAAGCAGAAAATGTTTTTACGTAAGTTTTTTAAATCAGTTTATTCCTTAATTAAAGGATAAAATAAAATCAGTTTTTAAAGAGATATATTTTCTGTAAATAAATAAAAGATAAATAATTGTTTAATTAAAAGATAAGTTTGTTATTTTTAAATTAAATAATTATTTAAAGTTTTATCTTTTTTAATAAATATCTTTAACTGATTTTTGACCAAATAAAATTGGTTACGTTGGCTGCTTGAGAGAAAAGCCAGGGAGACCATATTCCTCACTCCCTCAACGTTCACTTTGACTCCCCCAGTTAAGGTGTACGTGAGATCATGGGAGGAGTGGGAACATGGTTGAGGCTCCTTAGATCTCTCTATAAAAGCATGCACCGAAGTTCTGATTTGATATATGAGCAATAACGTAAAACATTCAGCTCATAGAGTCTTAAGTTTGCAAAGAGCCTTCTCATTTTAAACTAAGAGTGTTGAGTTCCTTCCTGCCTTAATCTTCTCTAGTGCATTAGGAAACTCTGTAATTACTTTTGTAATTGGGATTGAGGTTTGTGAGTGTTGTAATTGAGAGACTTGAGTGAGTCTATCACAAAGTTGTAAGTGATTCAGAGTCGAATCACTTAGAGAGTTAAGCTGCGGTTGAGGGACCGTAGTTGGGATACTTGAGTTCCTAGAGGAACTTAAGTGTAGGCTGAATATTCACAGTTGTAAATGAGTTTTTGCATAGTGAAATAATTCGAAAAGTCATCTCGTGTGTTCTCTCTTTTTATACTTAGTTTAATTTCCGCATAAAGTTCATAAATTTTTATAAATTACAATTCACCCCCCTTCTTGAAGTAGACATCATTCTAACAATTTTTCATTGAGGGGAAATGTAATTATAAGATATTGTAACATTATTGCTAATAAGTTCAAATGTGTTCATATAAGATAAGATAAAAACTAATAATTAAATTGTAATAATATAGCTTTAGGCTTCATAAGATAAGTTAGGTGAAACTTAATTGGATGAAGAGAACATTAGTTGCCTTATTCCCTTAAATTAAAAGTGAAATGAATATGCTTAAATTAGGAGTCAAAGTGAACGTTGAGTGTTATGCCGTTGCCTACAAGTACCTAATGTAAAATAACTTTTCGTAATCCTATTTGAACTCGATATTTACTAGTAGTATAGTATTTGATTTCATCAATACGATACGAGCAAAATTATGAATCCATATCCTATTAGCACAACAAGATTATTAAAGGCAAAGAAGAGTATCAACGTTTTGTTCATGATGTGTCAAAGACGGTAAATTACTCCATAAAAATATATTTTTGTGAAAAATATTTATTATATGAAATAATTTTTTATTTATTAACGAGGTTTTAGCTTGACAATAAATGCACCACAGTGACTTCCCCACTACATCCACAGATCCACCCTTCTATTAGCTGAGGTACTTGTTGCTACAGGAACATCCGCTTGGTGCCTTGTGTTAAACTCCTATGTACGGTTATGGTTAGGAAGGTCACAAGTTCGAATACTACCACTAGTACGTAGTCTCCAGCCTAAATGCTATTAAGATTGATAGCATGAATAGCACGAAAACAAGTTGCCTATGTACACAACTACACATAAAAAATCAAGCATAATCCAAAGCAAATTGATATCACCATAAATTGCAGCATATATATAACAAGATATTACATACGTTTGCCTGAATAAATTAGCAATTGGGAACATAATCTAAAATCAATCAATCAACCATGGTTGAAAATGTACTACTTGTGTATGTTTCCTCTTATCACTTTATACATTGTTACTTATCATCCAATGCACTTTCCAACCCCAACCCCAACCTTAACCGAATTGGCAACAATTTTGAACTCGCTGTCGACTTTGAATTGGAATTGGATGTGGAAGTGATTGATGCTGATGATTTCGTGCTCGAAAAACTCGGGGTTGGACTCTCTGAAGTGCTGTTCTCATCCACCATTTCCTCCTTATTTTCCTCTGATTTCTCAGACGATTCACTCTATAAAATTTACAAATAAAATAACAAAATTAATCAGTCTCAAAATAAATAGATTAATAAATAAAATGTATACAAGAATGAAAGAGCACATACAATAGTGAGCTCAGGCTGTGATTCCTTGTTCTTCTTCTCCATTTCTTTTTCCCTCAATGACCGAATTGGAGACATCCTCTGCTTCAATTCAATATTCCGCAAAATTTAAAAAATAAATCCACCAATATTAAAGTTATTTGGGAGTTTATTAATTTGCATAATTACATACCGTGCAAGCGAGCTTGAGATGCTTCAATCGGTAAAGTCGATCGACTTCGATTTCGAGCTCCTTCTGAAACTCTCCACGGTGATTAAGCTCAGTCATTTGAATCTCAAGAGTACGGTCTCGCTCTCGAAGCATTTTATCAGTCTTATCTTTCTCAAACTTGAGGCGTTCTAGCTTCTGCTTGACCGCGGTCAGCTCATTAGCTAAGGAAGCATCCATGGATTCAATGAGAGGGGTGGTCGGATCCCAGTTCTCCTTATTAGAATCATTGATGATAATAATGGGTGATAATGTTGGGATAGAAAGTTGATGATTTGTTTTTGGTTTTTGAGCGGAATCATAGTGATTGTTGTTGATGACAATGCTGTTTTTGGGTTGTAAAGGTTTTCGGCCACCGGGTTTTGGGTGGCGGAGGTGGGGAGATGCGGAGGGGGGCTCCGCGGCGAGCATCGGGAATGGAAGACGGGAGAGAAAGGATGTGTGTAGGGAGTGTAAGTAGGGAGGAGATAGTCAAATAAATGGAGGTGGTGATTATGAAATATTTTGATGGACAATTTATATATGATTATTTTAATGTATGGAAAAGTATGATTGCTAATTTGAATTTGAATTGAGAGGGGGCGGGCAACGGCTATTAGGGGATTAGGTGCAAATGTATGTCTTTTCCGTGAAACGATAATTAGTGTCCCAATGTTACGACAAAAAACACATTATTAAGGAGGGAGTATCAGAATTTTGTACAGTTGTTTTAAAATGAGAGAATCTAAGGAATTTGTTATATTACTGTACTTTTCTTATACTAGAATCTCTGACATAAAGGCCTATTAGCTCAGCTGGTTAGAGCGTCGTGCTAATAACGCGAAGGCCAATTTTTTTAAAAATTCTGCATCACAGAAAAATCAACAAATTATTGAATTAAAATCTTATTTATAGACCAAATACTTCACAGAAAAGAAATTAAAATGGTTTTATTTCACAATTGAATTATTCTCTGTATATTTGTTCAATATAATAGGCAGCGTAGCAGAAAGTATGATTGTATGAATATTACAAACATCTAGAGTATGATAATAATTACAAAGGGAGGGAGGAAGGAGAAATTTTTTATATCAATAATTAGTATTTACTACATGTAATCCATAGGGAGATCAAAGTCATTGTCCAGATCCCTAGTTCCTGGGTAGAATTTTCGCTTACTTGGTTTCCTTCTTGGTTTACGATATTTATCAGATTGTGTAGAATCTAATTCCATGTCGCGGTTCTTGAGATTAATGCTTGATGTCTCGCCGATCTTTGTGCCTAACAATCCCTGGCAAGCGAATAAGAAAAGAATTCAACCAACATGGATGTGTCGTGTGTAAAAACTGTGCATATAAACATATTTGCTTTTGATGGCAGTTTAAAGGTTTAGGAAGAGCTTTCCAAGGAAATTATTCCTTCATAGCGGTCTTTTGTTTATGCACATGTGATTTGCTGATATTACTTTTTAGCATTAGTACTGTAGAGTGTTCTGGTACAGATAGGGAGCATTCCCTATCATCCTTTGAAAGAAAATGAGGCGGGAGAAGGATTCATAAAGAACCCTGAAGGTTTGAGTAAAGTTTGCTGCAGTTTTTTTCTCCATCAAAACAACTAGTCTATTATCAGGGTCCATTGCTAATTTGCCGCTTCACAGCCTAAAGTAATAGAAAGGAGAATTGATAAGTGACAACCTAAATCCTAGGCAAGACGTATCATCGCCATTAAGAGGAACCCTAAAATGTTGGACATGAGCCTAAAAGTTGAGGCAATGCAGTGATCCAAATCACCAACTCCTCAAATAAATGATTACTGTACACCATAATTTAGTTCATTGCATTAAGAAAAACTCAAGTCATTACCTTGGTTAACCTTTGGATGCGTGAGGCTGCTGCTTCATGCACTATGATAAGATCTGAGACTACCTCAAGTACATCATCACTGAATAAGGCATAAGTGCTTACCTGAAATCATCAAGATGAACCAATAGCTCATTAAATAGGACGACTTAATCTTGGTCTCAAGCCTTGGGATAGACAGTCTATCTAATACTACATAATCATAAGAAAAGCTTATGAAAGTTCCAATCACATAATAACAGGTAGTCATTAAATCTGGTCCTCCACTCTCGCTAAAAAATGGAAACCTTTATGCAAATTATGAAAGGAAGAGATGATAATTGATCAACCATATGTCATAAAAAGTCACTGTCACCCATAAGATGATATTCAAGGGGTTTGTCGGCTTTTTGGTCACTTCATTATTGAAGTGCATGTTCAGAAGTGTGGTGGGCCTTGTCTAATAATCAAAGCCAGATTTATCAAGTTATAATTAAGCCTATACTAACCAATGATGTGCAAGTTTGAACTATACTATAAAAGCACAGATGACCTACCAGACTTGACGGAATAACTGAATACCCGAATGCATCGAGCTCAAGAGACTCCACACTACCAGAGTTGATGTTGAAAGTGTAGCCACGAACCTACAAGAATGAACAGAAAGTAATTGCAATTGAACCAGAGTTAATTTGTCCCCTAAATCAAGCATGGATTAGACACACTCACCTTTCCCAAATTTCTTTGTCCAGGTGTTACAACACTGTACCCTACCTAACAGAAAGGCAAAAGTCAGGTCTCATTACTGGATGCAAATATTACAAGAATTCAAATGTATAATTAACAAACCTCATATATCCTACCTAATCACACAAATATATTTATGTAACAGATCATACTTATATTCTGTAAAAAGTTATTTTGCTGTAATATTGTATTAGCAAGCAGTATCCTCACAAAACTTTTTTTATGAAGAGTAAATGGTATATTCCTACAACTTACAATACTCTGTATGACCCCCCACTCATGACTGATTTTCATACATTTTTCCAGGGGCACCCCTGGACACCAACAACCCCCCCCCCCCCCTCTCCCAAAAAAAAAAAAAAAAAAAAGAAAAGTAAAGAATAAAGGAGAGGGATTAACTGAGAAGACAATTTACATAGCCCCAGAGCCCCCTGCCCCATCCCTACTCCCTGAACAAATTTCTCAAAGTTATCTGTAAATTAGTTTTAGCTATTTTCTATCCACCACAACATCAACTCAATGTGGGAGTTCATGTATTTAGAAGCAGATTATCTATATCACCGCACTTCCATACATTACAGTGCATGTCTTTGACTATGCTAACATCATTGTTTGTCAGCTGCATGCCCGCATTCACCCATTTTTTTTACCATAATACCAGCTGATTAACACTTCAAATGCAGTTGGAAGAGTAATCACAGAACATACCAAGGTTTCCAGTCCAACTGTTCTAAATTCATTCTGTATAAAGTTATCCTCCTGTACAAGCACCACATCACCAACCTGTAGACATTTAAAAATTCATACATAAATGACAACAGCATAATTGCTATACAATTAATAAAGAGTATTACTTGTGTTGCTTCAACAATTGCTTTCATTAATGTCAGAAACATGATAAAAATGGCCTGTAGGTGAATCTCATAACCAAGGGAGACATAATTGAAGTCTATTCAGCATGACAATACTTGTGGTTAGCCACACAATTTGTCTTCCACCAATGTAACAATACTTAGTAGAGGGAACTGTCAAAGATAGAAAGTTTAAATCCATGCTACTCTAAGCATATAATTTACATAGATTTCATTTCAAGAAGCATTCATGGTTGTACAAAACAAATAAGTGAATCAAGATGGTAACTTTCAGCCACACATTTTTCTCACCAGACCAGTCTCAAAACAATACTTTGCATGAATACCTGAAATTTAAACAAGTGGAACAGAACCATAGGACAGGCAAACCAAAAGCACATACATGATCCAAGCATAAGTCCAGCTATAAACGTGATTAAATTACATAATCTGAAGTGGGCAGATGAAAAAAGAGAGCTGTTATGGTGGTAAAGGTGCATTGCAACAATAGGCAGCTGAATTGTTCAAATTTGTATGCTACTTTACCTAGACATGTTAAAGCCAAAACTTTCAAAAGAAGGAAGCTATATACCTTTTTAATATCTTCAAGAAGAAATTTTACTGAATCCGAAGAAAGCAAGTTTGGCCTGACTTCAACCTCCATTACTGCCCACTGAAATGCATAAACAACAAAAGCAAAGGGGGCTTTAAAAGGCCAAAGTACATATGTCATAAAAAGAAGGAGATTTATGCAGTTTTCAGGTGTATATTTAGTCACAGAAATTAAAATCTGCAAGAACTGAATAGTCAGGCTTCAGATTTTCAACTCATACACAAATCCAAGATATAGGAGTGCCACCCCATTGATAAAATCCATAGTCAATAAAGCAACAGCGTATACTTATATGCTAAACAAGTAATTGCTTGGTCATTTAGCTTAAGATGATAAATACATCATATCTTTTTGACTTATACCGCGCCACTTGCTTATAAAGAAAAAATCTAAAATTCAAACAAGCATCTTATTCAATATGATTAAAGTATCAAAGACCAACGTTTTAAAGATGACAATCATCCAGCATGAAATCACTGGAAGAAAATAAACTAGTCAAAGAACAGACCAAAGTGCAAAGAGAACTATATGAGGCTTAATCACTAACCGTGCAGTGGAAAAAAACCCATGACCGACATTTGAGAATGGAAATTGCTTGTTTAGCTTTACTAAGAAAGTTTTTGGTTAACAAGAAAAGAGAGAAGGCTGGAAGAGGAGGTGAGGGGAAGACAAGGAAGGAAAAGGGATGGGAGGGGCAAAAGAGGGGACTTGCATTATTCTGCTAACAACGTTAGAAAGATTTGGTTAATTAGATCAGGAAGGAAAACAGATCTCTCTAATCCCCTTCCCTCCGTCAACACTCTTCATCCAAACAAGTGAATATAGAGTAATGGACTCCTCACTGTTCCCTCCCACCAAAACCCTTCAACTAAAGCCAAACACACTGCCTATTTTAGAAATCATGTATGTAATGTGGTTAATTCCATGTTACTCACACTCTTTGCAGTCTTCCAATGATTTCTCTTACTGCAGATTTCATCGATCAAATCAAACTACAGTATCCATTTGAGGTGTCAAATTAGTGTTTATGTGACACACCTGACACAAGTAATGCAATTTTAATTGAAGAATGTGCATAGAAGAGAGAATTGTTGCAAATCTTCGGGCCAAGATACTAATCAATTTTTCAAGAAAGCAAAGGGTGCATGTAACCGATGTAAGTTAATATATATATATATATATATATATATATATATATATATATATATATATATATATATATGTATATATTGGGAATGTACTCAGATTTAAAACACACGAGGTAAAGGATAGTATGAGCGTACAGTTGCAGTATCAACCCACAGCTGTGAAACAAATCCCAAACTGCAAGCCGATTCAATCCCTATCACTTGTTTTGCAAGAATGCTTGATCTCTTTGCTAACTGCTTTCTACTCCTAAATTTCACCTTCCTCTCTAGCTTATTCTTTGGCTTTGACTTGGACTGTTGAAGCTCCTCGACTTGGTCATCACCCAACTCCAAATCCTCATTCTTCCCATCACCTTTAAAAGACATTAAATCTTCAGCTTTTGAAACTATGCCTTCACCTTCTTCCTGTAAGAGTTCGTCAAAACTCAAATGCCCAAGCTCACCATTCTGATTTTTCTCGCTACTCATGTCATCATAATTTCTTGTATTATCAATAGCTTCATTTTCACCAATCAAACCTAGCTTCAAGTCTTGAAGCTTCTCTTCACCATTTCGCAAACCCAATACAAAATCCTCATCCCCTTCCTCTTTTAGCCTCAGGTCAGAACTGGAATCAAATGCATTTGAACCAAACACACCCAAATTTGTCACAACTCTTCTATCCATAATAACCACCTCATGCCTAAAAATCCTTCTGCATTTTCTGTTTGACAGTTTATTCATAACAGAACAATCTTTGTACCCGGTTAATACTTCTGATGCCAGAAACACTGGCTTGCTATTCCAACCACATTGAGATTGACCTAATATTCGAATTCGAGTGCTGCTAAATCGGTTTGCTATGATAGCAGCTGACTGAACACAGTCACACATGACTAAACTTTATGACAATATGTGAAGATTCAAGTTGAAATATAATGCAAAATTCTTCAACTTTGAATTACAATTTCAGTTCAACTTCATATTGAACACTCAACCCTGGCCAACAGCAAAAAGCAAAGGAGCAAACATTCAATAATTGAATTAACTTATACTATAAAAGTACCAATTACAGTATATAAATGAAGTAAATTGTCACAAAATACATGAAATTGAAATCAAATCCCATTAACAACACAAAACTAACATCAATTTGTATTATTTGGAAATCCATTTCAGTATAATTAAAAGAAATTATAAGAGGGGAATTCCAATATTATACGAGTAATTATAAAAACTCCAAGAAAAAAAAAAAAAAAACAAAACTTGAAATTAATATCGTAGATGAACTTATACTGAGGTTTTGGAGATTAGGTAGGAGAGAGAAAATACCGAAGTCAGTGACTGTTGCAGATTTGCAGCATTGCTAAGGTGATTGATGGAGGACGAAGTATAATTACAGCAACAACAAAAAAAAAAAAGGCACATAAATAGCAACGGATTTTACCGACAGATAAAAAACCGTTGGTAAAAATAATTAGCGACGGATCAACAAATTCGCTATTTCAATTTATTTTTAATTTTCACAAATAAATTTCTTTAAAAAAAAAATTTAAATAAAATAATTTTCAGAAATAATAACGAGCTCTTTCCCAAATTAAAGTCAAGAAGAACCGCAATTCCCAAATTGCAGCCAAAGTTTTAAGAATTCCCAAAGTACCGTCCACGTCACCGGTTCAGGGGGAAGAAATTTTAAATCCGGTCTACAGCAAAACCGCTACCTGAAGTAGCGGTTTTTACTAATAAACCGCTACTTCAGGTAGCGGTTTCTTTTTAATAAACCGCTACTTCAAGTAGCGGTTTTTGTTTAATAAACCGCTACTTCAAGTAGCGGTTTTCTAGCAGGTATAATTTCCCGATTTCACTTTCCTCTTTCATTTTCGTCTTCTCACCAAAATCCCATCCACGCCTTCCACCAAAATCACACCTCCTTCAACGGAAGCCGGCGCAGCCAAGGAATCCACCGACGCCGCCGGAGCATTCCTCAGCAACGAAGGCCGCCGCTGTTGACGCCGAGGGTTCGACTTTAGTGGTCGGCTTCGCTAATTTCAGAAGAAACGTGCTAATCTTCTTGTTTGTGGTAAGTGCCCTAATTATTTTTTGTATTCAGTTATTGGGTTTGTTGTTGTTATTGAGTTTGTTGTTGTTATTGAGTTTCAGAATTGTATGTATGTGTTGTTGTTGTTGGTTTTGGTTGTGTTGTTGTTGTTAGTGTTCTTGTTTATTGTTGTTGTTATTGAGTTTCGGTTTTGGTTGTGTTGTTGTTGTTAGTGTTCTTGTTTATTGTTGTTGTTATTGAGTTTCAGAATTGTATGTATGTTTGTGGTTGGTTTTGGTTGTTGTTGTTGATTTACTTACCTTACATATAACCCTTGTAGAATTATTAATGGTTTCGATCACATTACTCAGTTTAGGTTGCTATAATTGCTGATTTTGAAAGTGAAAATAGAGCTTCTATACACAAAGTACATGAGCTCAAAGTACATGTAGTCATGACTTATGCCCATGTTGAGCTTCAAGAGGTATTAAGACCTTCATAGCTCAGTTTAGGTTGCTATAATTGTGTAGTTTGCTTGCTTGATGTTAGGACATTGCCACACTGTTAATGAATTTTTGCAATCTAATATCTTTGATTAATAATGGTCTTTTCTAGAATGAAACATGGAGGTTCCGAACTACCCTCTATATTGCTATTGGGGTGGAGAAATTGTCCACAAAGATAGCGATATAACGTATAGGGGTGGGAATCAAAAATTTGTGTTTGTACATTCTGCGATGACATATTCACAAGTTCTGAACAAGCTATATGAAGAATTGAGTGTTGATCCTAGAGGTGTGGAGTTGAAGGTGGTTATGCGTTATCCAATGGCTGGGGCATATGTTGCAATTCCGTTAAATGACGACAACGTTGTTAGAGCTATGTGGATTGCTGTGACTCAGAGTTCTTCTGTTGCAATGCAATTGTTCATTGAACAAGTTCCAAAGGAGCCAGTTGTGCAAACTAACACTGGTTCCTTTCCGGGGATGGATTTTTTTGGTAGTGTGGATCAACCGTTTTCCACTGGTGTTCAAAGTGTGGGCATAGGGTCATTCACAAGAATGCTTGTTGATCCACATTATGTCAATGACCATCTCTCACAGTTTAGGTCTCCGGCCTCATCGCCTAATGTTGGAACCTCGACAAGCACACAACCACAAGGCATTCTTGATTCTCTTGACCCAAACAATGTTGATGTATTTGGCGATGCAGAGATGAATGACACTGATGAAGATGATGATGAAGAGGTAATTGAAGCTCGTGATAAGGCAATTAAAGGAAGCGCCCCCACTTCAGACTTCAATGAAGTGGCGCAAGTTGATCCTCGTTTGAATAACTCATGGATGTCTTGGTTAGGAAATGAGACATATAACAATGGGGGAGAATTTGAGGTTGGTCAGCAGTTTGACTCATTGCAACAACTGAAAGATGCTGTGAAATCTTACTCCATAGCTAGAAATCAAACAATTCGAGTTGTGGAGGCAGAGCCAGAGTGAAAGTCTAACTGGCTAATACAAGAGGGGGGGTGAATTGTATTTGAGGTGAAATCTAAAAACTTTTTGCGGAATTTAACTAAATGAAATAGTGACGAGAGAAGATATAGGCTTTTCTAAATTTCCACTAAGTAATCAAACTCTTTACAAGTGAAGATTCAAACCCGTTAACAAGTTCCACAAATTAGGAACTTGTTCCCAACTCTCACAGAAGACTTCAGCAACGAAGCTTCCTTGACCTCACTTTACAAACTCACAATCCCAACCCCTAAGTACTTGAATACAATCTGTGATTACAAATACCTATTGCACTCAAGAATATATGAAGGAAAATAACTCTCTTTATGTTATTAGATGGCTACTGGAATTTTTATGCTCAAGAGTTATGTTTTTCTGAGATAGTTTGCATGAGTATTTATAGAGAAGGCTTAGTCATTAACCTCCACCATAATCACGTCCACATGTCAACAACCCACTAACAACTTGTGGAGTTATCTTGACAGATTGTGATCATGAAGAGGTTTCCTAGCCTTATCTAATTAAATCACTATCCTAACAACTTGATAACCATTAGCCGTATAAAAGATTTTCTCACAGAAAAACCACTTGCTAACTTTATCAAATATTTATTTAAAAGATTATCAAAAGTTTGTTTAAAAAGATTTTATTTGAAAAGATAAATTTATTATTTATTAAAACAACTAGATAATTATCTTCGATAATTATCTTTATTAAAACTTTTACAAATTATCTTTTCTTTAAGAAATTATCTTTTAAAACTAACTTTTATTCCAGTAGTCTTTAACATAAGTCATTGAGTTCCTTTCCGACTTTATATTATTGAGTGCTCACAATTAAAACTAGAACGTGAGATTTGCACGAGGCTTTTTAAAGAATGCTACTCCGCATCCAAGTTCCTACTCCGGAACGAACTTTGCTTGAACCCTTTATTCACCAAAGACTCAAAACATTCATTAGTCGAGTTTGTCAATTTGTCCATCAAAATCAAAAGGCTCAACAAATTCCCCCTTTTTGATGATGACAAACATTGACAAACTTAAGTAAATAAAATCATCCAGGCATGCAACAGAAATTTAAAGTAAGACATGAAAACAAAAAAAAACAGAGTAATTAAAGAACTTAAAAAAAAGCTAAAAAGTATTTATTTTAAAAAGACTGAGCAAAAGAGAAAAAATTAACAAAGACTTTAAAATCTTAGAAAAAGTTTAAAAACTTAGATTACTAGGACTTTATTAACTTAGAAAAGTTTGTACCTTCGATGTGTGAGTTCCTTGGTAAACACTTTAGCCGCCATGAAGTTTGTCTTTTCCCCCTTTTGGCATTATCAAAAGATTGAAAAAAAACATTTTGCTATACTCCCACTAGACTACGTAGGGAATAGTGAGCTCAAATAATGCAAGGCAAAAATAAGTTAGGTACTAAATCATCAGCAACCTCACACAATCATATGAAAAATACGAGCCAAGTTCCGATTTAGGAAATAGAAGAGGAACATAGAGAATGTAGCAAAGGATAAAGGCGTACAAACCAAAGTTCAGAGAGATTAAACAAGACCAAAATAAAATTGTTCAACATATGAAATTAGAATAAGTGCAATCAAGGATTTAAAAGGCTGCATTGGTAGGATCAAGGGTTGGATTTGTGGGATCAATAGAGTCTTCCTCGACTTCCTCAAAGGCTACTCTGTTGATAGTTTCCAAGATCTCCTTGTTGCCTTCACTAAACTTGCCTTCAGCCTGTGCAAGCTTTGCCTCTACGCCTGCAAATCCGGTTGCTTGAGAATCTGCCAGAGCCTGCACCTGGCCTTTAAGAGAAAGCAGTTCCGAGGCCATTTCCTCCAGTTTCTTGCTCACCAGAGTAGTCAACTTCTCCATATCTGCTTGAACCTGTTGAAAATCATAAACAGACACACGAGTTCCAGAGAAAGCAGCAAAGCCAGTAGGCTGAAATGGAGGAGGAGAAGGTGAATGAGAAGGCTGCCTAGTAGGTGAGACAGGAATAGAAGAGGGTTCAGTGGAAGAGGGAACTTGGGTAGGTTTGAAGGTGGAATCAGATTTGTCTGAGGAGCTGATGGTTTCTACAGTCACAGGGTGTGTAGTAGAAAGGGCAGGCTTGACCACATTCCTCTTACTCCTTCTAAGGCCCCCTGTAAACACAGGAATGACAGGTGGTCCAGCTGTGCTCTCAGAGTCTGTGGTATGTTCCCTCTCACTTTGATCAGTTCCCTGCCCCTCATGTAAGTCAGATTGTCGAGCTTCCCCCTCAGAAACTTCCATATGTTCCCCCTCAGAATCTTCCTGTTTTTCTCCTTGCACATCTCCCTCAAGTATTTTTTCTTTGTTTTTCTCTCCGTTAGAACTTTTTTCTTCTTCCTTATCTCCCTCAGAATCACTGGAGGTGGTAGCACCCTCACTAGCCTCCTCACTACCCTGGTCACTGCTTGCATCACATTCTTCCTTAGCTTCTTTCCCTTTCCCTTTCTTTTTCTCCCCTCCTTTCCGAGGCACAAAACATACTTTGCCATTTGTAAGCCTAAGACTCAGTCTAAGTAATGATTGTTCAGAGAGGATATTATCGGGTTTGAGATATGTTGGGGATTCACATTCAACATCAATACCAAAAGATTTGAACAACACAGTAAGGAAAGAGCCATATGGAATTGTGGTCTTTTGAGCATAAAAATTCAAGTGTTCAATCATTAGAGCAGGGAAATTAATCTGTATTTTGCATGCAAGACAGAATATGAGGGAGGCATCCAAGAGTGATACGGTACTCCGTTTTTGTAAACGGGGTACTATACCCTTCCAGGTGAAGGTAAACAGTAGCTTATGAAGGGGTGTTAGGGCATGAT